TGGGTCAGATGTCATTTTCGTCCCTGTACATCAATCACTCTTTGTTTTCTCAGGTAGGTGGTGCTGCATGAATTAATGGGGACATGTCATGTCCAGGAAACCTTGAAACCCCAGTCTGCTTTACCCGGTATCTGGAGACTGGCTCTAACTTTCCCCCATCAACTGGAGACTATTAGGGCAGTCTTGACCTTTGACTTTCTTGAGGCTCAGACTCCATGTTACATGGTCTCAGTTTCTCCTGTTGGCGGACAGTTGGGAACTTGCCCCCCCCCCCCCCCCCAAGGTTCCTTGGAAGTGTGGCTCAATAGCACTGAGAGCTGCTAATAGTCCTGAGGAGGCCTGGTGAGTAATTTTGTCATGGGTGTTTTGGGCCTTGTTCCAGTTTGAAAGGGGGAGAGGCTGAGATGCAGGTGTGTTTGAGGGTTTGAGAGATAGTACAGCTTCTAGAGGATGAGAGCACTTGAGTGAAGACTTGGTTCCCTGGGTTCCCTCCAGATGCAGATTGATGACTGGCTACAGATGCCAGCCTATACTACCTACGATGCTGCCACCCAGCATCCAGAGGGACTGAGGTTCCCAGAAGGGCAGCCAGGTTCTGGTCAGTCCTCTCCCTGAGTTAGAAGGGAGCTGACCCTACGAGCCTGAACTCTCAGGAAGGAAACACAACAAAGAGCTTCTGTTGCCCAAAATGAGATGCCTCGATTTCACGTGAATCACCATGGTTACCTTGTATGATCTCCTCAGATTGGGTATGGTTGTGTTAGGGTGATGGTGGGTTCGGTGTGTATGTTTTTAAATCAAGGACACAGGTGCAGGGTCAAAGCCAAACCATAATGATTTATCAAGGGAGTTCAAGAGTCTCTCTCGATTTGGTAATTGTGTACTTAAGGGTTACTTGATACCGCTTTCAATGGATGGGTTGGAAATGAAAACAGTAAAAGCTCCCTGGATCAGTCAGCGTGGTGGATGGCAGACGCTCCAGTGATGGCTGTGAACACAGATCGCAGTGCATTTTAGGGAGGTGCTCAGTCCTGGAGCTTTGTGGATTTCCCATGGATAGTGTTGGGGTAGCTGCCTCTGCTCAGCTTTCACGTCCCATTCCCGTTCAATAACTATTTATCAGGCCCCAGCTGTGGGACAGATGCTCTTCTAGGTGCTTGAAATAAAACTGTTACCACTGCCCTTGTGAGGTTTGCCTTATTGGCAGGTAAGAAAGCATGTCTATGGCTGGGGTTGTGGGAAGGTTGTAAGTCCTGTGGGAGATGGTTTGGGGATAGAAGGCTGGGCTGGCCTGGGCCAGTGTGGTATAGCAGATACTGGAGACTGCCAGACATCAGGAGGTAGCAGCAAGCCATTGAAGGAAGGTGTTAGGGTAGACACATTGTAAAAAGGTACTTTTGAAATAGTTTGGGAACACTGAATATGGGCTAGGTACTAGTTGATCTTGATTATGGACTAAATATTAGCTGGTATTAAATATAGACTGGAAAATGGTTGATATTGAATCTATTGGGCTTTAGTTGGTATTGGTATTGGACTGGACATTGGTTAATATGTTAGGGAAATTAAAATTTTAAGTGTGGCAGTGACTTATGTTTTTGGCAATATTTTTCAATTTGAGCTATAAAGTGAATAAATGATTGTTGAAATGACACAGTATCTGGGATTTGGGTTAAAAAATTAAAAGACCATACAATGAGAGTGCCTGGTGTATTGAGAAATCACAGAAGGCCACGTGGCTGATACAGGGTTTAGAGGTAGATGTGATGTGGAGGTAAGGCAAGTGCTAGATGAGGACCTTTGAGGTAGTGAGAGAATGGCTGTTTTATTGATAGGAGAGCCATTGGAGGGCGGTGAGCCATCTGAGTGGAACAGTCTGTGAGTCTCTGAAGAGGGTAGTATGGTAGTCAGGGAGTGAGACACAAGCATTCTGGATGTATTTGTTGGGAGAACCAACTGGGTTTCCCTATGGGCTCGGTATGGGCCAGCAGAAAAGAGGAGGAGTTGATTGGCTCCAGATTTTAATCTAGGCCCTGCAAGATGATTGTTGTGTATTGGGCTGAGGAAGCCACCATGGATGTAAGCCGATACTAATCGTGCTGTGATGCACAGGTACAGGTAAGACCCTGGCTTGCTTATGATGTATTTGAGCATCTACAACTGTTCTTTTTTTCTCACAACTTATCTTTAGTAATAAATAGTACATATAATGTTGCAATGTGTAATTTGTTGATGTCATCATATCTGACTTTATATGTAATATTTCCAATCCCAAAGACAAAGATTGTATTTATAAAGATGCTGATAATAAATAAATAAACAGAAGGCCTTAAAATAATTTTGACTAGCTCAGAACCAGCTTAAAGATGAAGTGGTCAGGGCCCTGTTATAAGTCAGAGACTATAGTTAAGAGTCTCCCTTTCAAGAAAATTCACCCTCAGTTCTCCCAAGGCATGACTTAAATGCCTAGTGGTCTTAACATTGAAAGAAGGGCATGGGAGATGTTTTGGTGGAAAACAGTTTTCCACACATGTGGTCCATCTATGAGTATGCCACATGGCTTGCATTGCTTCATGGCCAGTCGGGAAATCAGGTGGGGTACTCCTTCAGATTCTTCTCTCTCTGACAAAATTATGCTCACTATATTTTGAGTTCTTTACATTTCCATGTAATTTTTTTTTGTCAGTTTCTAGCAGAAAGCTTGCTGGAAGTTTTTTATACTATTGTTTTAAATCTGTACCACAAATTGGCATAAAACTCACCCCTTGTAATCCTTGGACAGAAAACCCTTTTTAGGTTTTCTGGTGGCCTAGCAGTAGGAAACCACTAGCTACTCTGGGAGAAAGATGGGGCTTTCTACTCCCATAAAGAGTTACAGTCTTGGAAATTCACAGGCAATTCTACCCTGTTCTGTAGGGTCATTATGGGTCTTGCACATGATTTATTAAATATCTTTAAGTATTTTGTGTTTTATGCTTATTAGATGATTTATTAAAAGCTTCAATCCTTAGTTTTTAGCGTGTAAACATCTTTTTAATTGCCATCCGGTTGATTCTGACTCCTGGCAATCCTGCAAGTGTCAAAGTAAAAGTGTTCCACAGGGTTTCAAGGCTGTGACTTTTCAGAAAGACAGTAAATCCCTGGTCTTGTCTTCTGTGGCACCTCTGGGTGGATTCAAAATACCAACTTTTCTGTTAGTATTTGAGCTCTGTTAGTAATTAATTGTGTGTGCCACCCAGGGACTCTTTGCACATAGGTATTAACATAGAATTGTGTGTTAACCCTGTCCTATTTCCAAGCAGGCGCTGGGGAAGCATGGGGACCTGCTAAAGAGAGAAAGATCCCGGCATGGGGAAGGGTGAACACTGTAGGGTTCCCAGTTCAAATGGGGCTAGGGACTGTTCAGAAAAGGTCTCCCCAGGGCCAGAGACCTTTTTGCAAAATCCTCACTGGGGTTGTGCTCTCCCTTACTTTTCGCAAGTCCTCTTGTGAGAGTTTCTCACCGTCCATGAGCTGTGAATTGTATGTGAATCAGTTTAAAAATAAAGACCTCATCAGAGCAAGCTCCTGAGAGTCATGTGGATAAGGGTGATAGTGCTTGGCAAGGCATTCCTGCTTATTAGGTGCCTCGGAGTTGGACAATACAGGAAGTCTTAGATTGGCCAATCACTGGTTTCAACCTCTGCCCCTAGATCCCTGCAGACCTGAACCCTCAAAATGGGGACTGACCATGGTCCTGATCCTACAAACAGGGGTCTCATGCTTGGAAGGTGAGGAGTGTACCTCTGAACTGCCACTGACAGTGCCATGTTATGTGTAGTATTGCTATTAAATAATATAGGTAACCTCACTTTATCTTATTATTTAAAAATTAGTTTTGGGAGAGATTTCATATCGGACAGTTTAATTATTCAGTCATATTAAGATTTGTGCAGTCATCACCAAAATCAATTTCAGAACATTTTCTTCTCTCATTTAGTGTTGTTAGCTACTCATCCTCCCCTGTCATGACCCTAGGTGATAATCAGTCTAATTACTGTCTAAATAGCTTTACCTATCCTTGATGTCATATATAGAAAATCATATAAAATGCAAACCGGAAACAGCCAACAATAATGACTAGACAAAACAGAAAAACTTCAATCAAAAAGAAAGCAGACAATACTAAAAATTGAAGCAACTTAAAAATGGGTCAAAGGGGGGTGATCAAATGATATGTAATTACATTTTAACCTAACTATATCTGCCGTAATCATAATCCACTTTATGATGCTCTCTGTCCGATAGCAAGGCTGTTCAACACATCCCTGGACTGTGGTCAGAAGGATTTACCAGAAGCTTTAATCCATAAACCCTGCAAATGAATTTTGGGCTTCCACTATCATCCATATCCTTCTGCAAATTGGGTGTTTACAATTTAAGCTTTGATAATATTCCCACCTTTGGATTTGGATTTTATTATTTACCATCCTTGGATCACACAGACTAGTGTTCTTCTTGCATATGGACTTAGTTGACACCTTACTTAAGCTGGCTGCTTAATACTTAGATGAGGGGCCTTTAAGATCCCAGATGCAGTTCTTTCTGATAGCCGTGTGTGTGTGTGTGTGTGTGTGTGTGTGTGTATACATATATGTATACATATGTATATGTACATATACACACAGTGATCTATTCATGAGGGTAAGCATCAAGCGGGGCTATGTCATAAGAACTTAGTAATTGTTCTTAGATTAGGGCTAGAATTATAGATAGCTTCATTTTAGAGTTGGCTGTCATTGCTCTTAAGCTTCTTTTATTGGTATATGTTGGTTAGTGCCGTGTGGTATATCCAGAACTGAAAGAAGTCTTATTTTCCTGCTGACTTTCATGAGGAAGGCCATGGTTGAAACTACAAGGTCCACTTGAGTGATCCAGGGACTAGGAATTATTACAAGTCCTGACACGGTCCAGAAACCTTCCTTGGAAACTCAGGGTGTCTTTCTTTGTCCCTTATTTAGACTGGTCAACACGTTGATGTGGTTGCGTCCGGATGCAACTGCTGCCATGGCCGACGTGTAGGACCAGCATCCCTGCGCCAGGAGCCAGGTGAGCAGGCCATGTCCATGTGCAGGCTCAGTCAATTTCTTAAAGGCCAGTGATGCCTCATAGAGGGGACTCGGGGTATAGGGTCACACACCATGTCTGTGGGGACTGTGCTTCCCCTTGGGGTCTGTGACCCCCCCAGAGTCACTGCATCCTTACTCAGCACTCCCAGTGTTCAGAGAGGCTGAACTTCGCCTGGTGGAGGTGCCCTGAGGGGTCAGAAGAAAGAGCACAGGATAAAGGGATGAACATGTTGGGGTCTTGTCTCTTTGTGAGATATCAGGGGCAGAACACATCCACCTGGTGGCCTTTGCCCGAGATGTTTCTAGAATTTCTCAGTGCTGACCTGATTGTTGCACATTTTCCTCCTCTGCATTTGGGAGGAAAGGGGACAGGAAGACTACAGACAATTCACCCTATAGGGACTTGTAGGCTTAGATGAGTATTCTGACCAGACAAGGATATAAAACCTGGAAAAGCACTTGAAGGCATCTTGGAGCCTAAGTGGTGGGGCCCTTCATATTGAGAGATTCACTCATAGGGGGATTTGTGTGCAGTTGGAAGGGCTTCATGTGCACCTGGGGGAGGGCCAGCATCCTTGTCTAAGCATGAGGTTCAGGCATTGCTACTCCCAGATGCCTTTTATCCTAAGGGCTGGCTGAGTTGAGGCCAGACTACTACTTTGAGACCTTATCGGCTTCTAACGTCGTTTGTTTATTTGCTTTTGAGAAGAAAATGAGGGCTGGCTTCAGTTGATCAAGGAATCGTAGAACCTGGAAAACATTTCCAGAAGATAAGTTTCAAACCATAAGCCATCCATTAAAAGTACACATAATTCAGTAGTATTTTGTGTATTCAAGAATTGTTGAATATTTGTATATTCGAGAATTCAGGTGTTGCACATCACCTCTAAATCAGCATTCTTATCACCCCAAAAATGAGACACATGGCCGTTAGTTGTTCCACATTCCTTTTTCCCAGTCATGCCCCATTTCTGGCCATTTCACGTAAATGGGATCCTTTGATAATATGGTTTTTTGCATCTGGCTTCTTTCACTGAACATGTTTTTGAGATTCATCCACAATGTAGTGTGTATTAATGTTTCATTACTTTTTATGACTAATACTCCATTGTATGGTGGTCCACATTGTGCTTCTCCATTTATCTATGTACACTTGGGTTGTTTCTCTCATTTGGCAGTTGAAACAGTGCTACTGTGAACATCTATGTACATATTTCTTTGTGGACATACATTTTCATTTCTTGGGTATATATTGAAGAGTTGGGATTCTGGGTCATATGATAACTGTGTGGATTGGTTTAAAGGATGTCTAGGTTGTTTTCCACAGTATTTATACTGTGTTTTATTCCCACGAGCGTTAGGTGAGGTTCTAGTTTCTTCATTTCCAATGGTTTAATTTAGAATTGGGCTAGTATCTTAGAGACATGAGACACTCAAGGACTATCAGTGTTAAATAGTGTACATTATCTGGTGATGGTTCTAATGTGCTGTCATTAGAGTTTGGGGGAGTTAGGCATTAGCAGAAGGGATGAGGTGAAGTGGCAGCTTGGCTACTGCTCTCCCAGGGCCAGGTTCCTCTGTGGGAAGGAATAACACTGCTCTGTGCATGTGTGGCCCCAAGTTCTCCCCCCAACTCCATGAGGTCAGCGTCTTAGTTTCTGACGCACAGAAAGGTTTTAACTTAAAACTTGTCCAATGTCACTTGGTCAAGAGACAGCAAGTTATGGCTTCCTGGTCCTAGTGGCCCTTGGGGCTCTGAAGCCCCCCACTTCCATATGTGCAGAGGGGATACTGAGAAAAGAAGCCTGTACTCAAGGGACTGTATGAGATCCATTATACAGTGGTATATTTATATTCCTCAGGTATAAACAGTCACAGTTTTAGTGTAAGGGCTTTCATGGTAAGAGAACTGTCTTATCAAAATGTGACCCTGCAAGGTGTGATGAATGGGTGTTCTGGGCTGTCTCTTCTACTCCAGTTGTAAGCATACTTAAAAGACGAGTAAGCAATTAGGATGGACACTATTATGCTTATTATTGTTGTTAGTTGGTGTCAAATAGATGTCAGCTCATGGTAACCCTCCATGTGTATCAGTAGAAAGGCTCCAGAGGGTGTTTAAGGAAACAGGTTATTAGGCCTTTCTTTCAGGCTTCCCTGGGTGAATTTGAATTGCAACTTTTTGGCTAGTGATTGAAAACTTACCTACACTGCCTAGAGTCTCCTAGACTATCCTATGATGACTACCAGTGGCAGCCTCCTCAGTTTATCTGGTTGCTTGTGGTGTCAGCCATTAAAGTCACATTTCACTGCCAGGAGGGGCTTGGGATGATGGGCAGTGGACAAAGAAGAGTGGGCCTGGACTTGGCTGTAAAGAGGATATCTTTAAACATTGACATTTAAAGATGAGACTTTAAATCTGGAGTTGGTCTGTCTTGTCCACATCTGTGAGTGGTTGTCCAAGTTCTGTACCCAAGGTCACTGAGGGTGGCAGGGCAGCTGGTGTGCTGGTGCTCGCTTCCTCTGCCTGCCCAACACCAAACACATGGCACGGGCAGTGAGAATTTGAAGGATGGGTAGATGAGTGAATGAAGTTGGATGGACAGAAAAGGCTAGGAGGCACGATACAGCCAGAGAACATCACTTTCTCATCTTTTCCCCCCCCACCCCCCCCACCCCCCCGACCTGGTGCATAAATTTGGAATCTTCAAGTGACCGAGCAGGAAAGAATGGTCTGAGTGTTATCAGGACCCCAAATGATTTTAAATACTCAGAGGGCTACGGGGCAAGAAGCCCGGGGCTTGTTGCTTCTTGCGAGGTTGTAAATATCCCTGCACATGCACGTTCTGTGGTGAACCCCTGGTCCTGGGAGATTATGTTGGATGCACTGGGGTGGGGGGCTGTTTTTAGTGGGATGAACTGGGGTGGAGGCTGCTCCTGGAGTATCCAGTATCACTTTCCCAGTCTAAAGTATGTGAAGGGTCCATGTGTGACGTATGTGTCTTGCCACCTTGGTGCACCGTGGCTACCAGAGGGTAGCCCTGTGTCGGTGCAAAGGTTAAAAAGTGAGTGTACTTACAGGGAGGCAGGCATTCCTGAAAGAGTTGTGCAGGTACCCTTCCCTGGAGTGGAGACATCATAGCAAAGGGCTTGCTTATAAGAGCGCTCTTAGGACAGCCTCTCTGACCGGTTGGCAAGTCTTCCAGGAGTGGATGACTTCTGTCCGTGTTAGGGGTGGAGCTGCCTTTGAGTGGTTGCTGCATGTGTAGGGTAGTTTAGGACTGGTGACCTTCTGGTATTGGGGTCTTTCCAGAGGACCTAGTTGTGGGCATCTGGGGCACAGCAAACTTGTGGTTGCCTTTTAGCAGCAGACCCTTCAGGGTTTACAGCTCTTGGGATGATTTCCTGTTTGGTTTTTTTGATGGCTTCTTTTTGATAGGCCTTTGAAGACGTTTTTGGCTAATTAAACCTGGAAGAGTGAAAGCTAGAAGGTTTCTTTCTCATTTTTTTTGGAAGTCCCTTTTTTTGAGTAACAAATGGTCATCTGCACTAGGCCTGGGCCCAGAGAGAATGACACATGCATTAGAGGTGTTCTTGTTGCAGGTACGGGACACACAGTGTTGAGTAAATGTGGGAAGTGTTAGTAGTGTAAATGAGAAGAGAGGCAGTGGGGACACATGCCCCTTTGCATATGTGAGCTGAGTAAGAGGTTCTGGAGCTTCACATGAGCTTAGGAAGAGGGCCAGGAGGTGCTAAGGCCCAAGAACAGGTGGTGTGAAATGGTAGTTAACAGTGTGATAACCTATCTAACTTTAGAGGATTAATGAGAATCAGGATCAGCCTAAAACTGACTTCTGTGAGGTGAAGGGTCAGGCATGCCTCCACTCTCCAACCTTTTTATTCATTCTGCCCACAGCCCTCTGTAATTAATTAATTATCCGTTGGTTCAATAATCTACCCATTTTGTTGCAGTGACCATACAGAACTCACAGACCATTCTTAAACGTAAGCACTTTATTAAGGAAGTAACAAGGTGCAACTCAGGATCAGAAGTATCCAGGCAAAATCTACAAGGCTTTCCTATAGAGGAGCACGCTCACACTTTCCTTTCAGTACAGGAACGCTCTCAGTTCCTAGGATATAGAAGAAGCAGGCCCTTCTCTTTGCTGAACACACCCCCATTCAGCTGGGAAGACCTCCTTGAGACAGGCGTCCTCTAAGCTTCCTTAGGACAGGCCTCTCTGCCTTCCATCTCCCTACTGCTAACTGACCCAGGTTGGAGCCACTGTAGCACTTTTGTTAAACTTGCTTAGTTGTGTCTCCTGTGTTGTCACCAACTCTGCTGTAGGGCCCCTTCCAGGCCTTTTACTGTCTTCAAGGTGATGGCCCTTGACCTTTGCTAGAGCTCTTTTCAAAGTTGCCTTCTCTAACTGCTGCGTTTTGCTTTGCTTTTATTCTGCTTTATTTTCTCTTTATGTAAATCTTCGTGGAGTTGGTTGGGTGCAAAGTCTTGGAGATTTTGAAGGAAGGGCCTCCTGACAGCCCCAGAAACTGATCAGTCCACTCAGTAAACCAGTCATTTAATTTACATTGTAGGCTATCCTTACAAGGTGTACAAAATAGACCAATCACAGGATAGGCTTCAGCCAGTGCCAAAGTATCAAACTATCGAATTATTGGATCTACATGTGACCTCCTCCCTGGGGGCGGACAACAGAAAAGTGGGTGAAGGGAGACGTCGGATAGGGAAAGATATGACAAAATAATAATTTATAAATTATCAAGGGCTCATGAGGGAGGGGGTAGTGGGGAGGGAGGGGGAAAAAAAAGAGGACCTGATGCCAGGGGCTTAAGTGGAGAGCAAATGTTTTGAGTCGAGAATGATGAGGGCAATGAATGTACAAATATGCTTTACACAATTGATGTATGTATGGATTGTGATAAGAGTTATATGAGCCCCTAATAAAACAATTAAAAAAACCA